CTAGTGTCGAGTAGGACTTCAGACCACCGGGTATAATTATTGTTCCGCGTAGGCCCCAGTCAATAACAATGAGATATCTAGAGTCCCTTCTCTGTTTGTAGTTGCGTACACCAGTTGGGCTCGTTTCAGTCAGCCAATAAGGGCCTCAGCATGACGGGACAGTGCATCCCTGGCGCGTAGGATCGCTGATATGGGGGTCAGTGATGTAAAGTTTGTACATATATTAGCCAATCAAGCGCACCGGCCGCTGAGATGAAGCAGGACGTCCCTTTTCCACGTCCCGCTAAGGACGATCTGGTTAACACAGCCAAGTGGTGCTCGTTTCGGACAAAGAGGATAATCGTGTCGACACCCGTAGCACCAAATGTAAGGGATGGCTCGCCACCTAGCTGTCGGATTAACGCGATAAGACTCATCCAAAATAAGCAGGAGAATCCTGCACATATGCGGACTAGCTGTGACTCGAATAATTTTGAACATACGAACAAGCCAGAAAGGGGCATATTTAGGTGGATATGAGTGATGCGATATGCGATTAGGTACAAAAAGTGCAACAAAAAACGCGGTGAATTTGTAGTCAAATTCTCCATGGCGGTATAAGTATGCTTCGCGATCTTTGGCATTGATCATCCGTGATTGGTTTGCGTTTTTGAAGCAAATGAGTTTTGCGTGTTAGATAGTAACACATGAGTGCCGGCTGGTTAGAATGCAGATGTGAATTCTAAAACAAGCCAGGGTCTCCAAGTCAGCACAGCTGTACTGCATCGAGACTAGGTGGCAAAGGTGACATTCTCAAAATACCTAGCATGACTTAATAAAGATAATTTGAAACACTTATCCAATGTACACTATTGCAAACGATTCTAATTGCAGACAAAGCCATATACGAAAGGTAAGGCCCAGTTTGCTTTGAAAAGAAGTTGGTATGGACTCAAAACTAGAACCACCAAAACATGTGAAGGAGTACCGAGTGTATTTGAAGTTTGTATAGATGGGTCGTGCAGTGAAAGATAAGATGTAGGGGGATTTTAAGAGACACACGAGGACTCAAAATTCTGGCAAATTATGAAGAAATGCGTACCAAGCAAAATAGAGGCTAAGCGCAAAAGTCGATTTTCGAGGATTGATGTACAACAGTAATGCGTGATTTAAACTATATAAAAACAGCCACGGCCAGATTACCTTCATACCATGGATCAAATACGGAGCTCCATCATAATTGGAAGTCCACAACGAAGGATTAATAAGGTGTGTATTTTTAGTGTAGGATGACCTGGAAGTGTTGTAGTATGCCCATTGTGAAATAGTTTGCACCCAGCAACTAAATGGGAATTGACTAAATGATAGTTTCACAGAGTAAGTGTGAACCTATAGTCCACGAAAGTAGACAGGGACTTCGGGAAAAGACGCAGTTAAAATAAGAATGTAACTGCTTCTTATTATTCCGCTTGAAATATGTTTTTATAAGAATACATCGTCCATAAGATTCAGTAATTTTTTGACAGAATTCAAGTGATGCACAGGGGTACACAAGCTTTTACATTGTGGTCAAGACTTGGGGAATATGGATAAAAAATATTTTTTCACCAATCAGCGTTCAGCTGGTTTACAAAAAGGCGGCAAATATAAGTAAAGCTGTTTTCTGTATTATTCGGCTTAAGCTTAAATGAAAATTAATTAGATTTATATTTATGTACTTGTTTCGTAATTAATGTGGTATACGGGACCGGAAATAAATGGACAAAATTATTAAACCTAAGCCCAAACCAGTAATTAAAACTCCAATAAAGACTTGGAAACGAGATCAAACAGCTACAGGAGACTGACCAAGTCTAAGAGACCAACCTATTGGTCTCCATATTTGTATCAAGAAATAACAAAGAAAACTTAATAACATCAAAGTGAGGTAAGAATAAAGGCAGTATAATAACATGTATGCCACGATAGGTCTCCAAAAGTAACATAGCAGATTAATATTATTTTATACATGATGGTCTACCCGAGAACCAAAAAATCTCTCAAAATACGCAACTATGGATTTTAAAGGTAATGTTAATCCTATTTAAGTTGAAATTCCTATAATTTCATAGAGTTGTTCAACGTTGCAGACTAATTACTATGTATCTTAATCCAAAAAATCTCAAAGATAAGGACGAATCAGGGTATAAATGTGGATTAAGAGGCAAAGGGGTAGACTAAATTTTTATTGTAAGTTGATATATTCATAGT